TGAATATTCTGGTATTTTGCTCAGTTCCTTCTCGGCCACGGCCTGATATACTATCATTCTTTCATCCTTTGCCGCATACTTCCCTATTATCTGGTTCACCACTAGTTGCAAATTAGAGAATATTTGGAGCTTTAATATCCCAAGCTCTGCTGCCATCCTTACTCCAGCAATCAAGGCTTCGTACTCCACTTTGTTGTTTGAAGCCTCAAAGCCGAGTCTGATGGCTTTCTCTAGGGTATACCTGTCCGGACTCACAAGAGTGATACCTATACCAGCACCCTTATGATTTGAAGAGCCATCAACAGAAAGTTGCTAGCTGCCACCACATCCCTATTCTTGATTGTAATTAGTTTCTCCGCTCCTCTTCGAGCTATCCTTCGGCTGAAATTCCGCTACAAAGTCTGCCACCACCTGGCCTTTTACTGCCTTTCTTGGCTCGAATCGAACGTCAAATTCTCCGAGCTCAACTGCCCATTTAGCAACGCGTCCGGACAGGTCAGCTTTACGGAAAAGCGTCTTCAGGGGCTGGTCGGTAAGCACTGTAACTGGGTGGGCTTGGAAGTAGTGCCTGAGCTTCCTAGTCGAGCTAATGAATGCTAGTGCGAGTTTCTCCAACAAAGTGTATCTTGACTCTGCATCTAAGAGCATCTTGCTCACAAAGTAAATGGGTCTCAACTTTCCCCTATCATTCCTCATCAGTGCCCTACTAATAGCGTGCTTAGACACAGCCAGGCAGAGATAAAACACTTCTTCAGGGGAGGGGGTAGATAGAATCGGTGGTGACACCAAGTATGCCTTGAGTTTTGCAAATGCCTCCTCACACTCCTGAGTCCAGAATGCTCCCCTCTTTCCTTTGATTGATTGGAAAAAGGGTCTGCATTTATCAGATGCTCGGGATATGAATCTCCCGAGCGCTGCTGCCATTCCTGTCAGTCTCTGTACCTCTTTTACGTTCCAAGGTGACTGTAGTTCGGCAATAGCCTTGACCTGGTCGGGGTTCACCTCTATCCCACGGTGAGTAACCAGAAACCTTAGGAATTTCCTTGAACCGACCCCAAAAGCACACTTGGACGCATTTAACTTCATTTTATATTTTCGCAGGATATTGAAAGTTTCCTTCAGGTCGGCCTAATGACTTGTAGCCTTTTGACTTTTAACTAACATATCATCAATGTAAACTTCTACAGTGCTACCTATTATATGTGAAAACATTTTGGTCAATAATCTCTGATATGTTGCTCTAGCATTCTTCAACCCAAAGGGCATTACTCTGTAACAGTATGTTCCTTCTGGTGTTATAAAGGCAGTCTTCTCTTGATCTTTCTCGACAAGGGGGATCTGATGATATCCCCTATAAGCATCTAAAAAACTCATCTGCTCGTGTTCGGCTGTTGCATCCACCAACTGATCTATCTTTGGCAGGAGAAAGCTATCTTGTGGACACGCTTTATTTAGGTCGGTGAAGTCAATACAGACTCTCCACTTCCCCTTTTTCTTCTTCACCATCACCATGTTTGACAACCAGGTCGGATATTTCACCTCCCTAATGGTTTGAGATTCCAGCAAGCGAGCCACTTCCTCTTTCACTGCTTCCTGATGCTGTGTAGCCGACCTCCTGAGCTTTTGTTTGATTGGCTTGTAGCTCGAGTTTATATTCAAGCGATGACATGCCACTTCTGACAGTGTGTCGAGCATGTCGATGGTACTCCAGGCAAACACATTGGCATATGCTTTTCAGCAGTGCGATGAGCTCTGTCTTTTGTTCAGAACTAAGAGTTATTCCTAATAAAAAATATTTTTCTTGATCATCATCATTCTCTAGAGGTACTCTAGTCAAGTCTTCAACTGTTCGCTCTGTAGCCTCCTTTTCTTCGCCTAAGGTACTTTAGGACTGTCTTTGATAGCTTGATCGGCCGGGTCAACCGAGCTGTCTGAGGTTGATTGCTATTTCTTCTGTTCTGCCACAGAGTAGTTTTCTTGGTGCTCTGCCTTGTCCTTAGATTTAACAGATGCCAACAAGCAAGTTCTGGAACTGACCTGGTCCCCTCGGATATTTACCACTCCATTAGATGAAGGGAACCTCAGCATTTGATGGTACGCTGATGGTACTGTCTTCATCTCGTGCAGTCAAGTGCGCCCCATTATTGCGTTGTATGCCGAGACTGTATCCACTACCAAGAACTCGGTCATGATGCAAACTGGTCCTGTCTTTACAGGCAACGCGATCTTCCCCTTAGGGAGGACTGTTTTTCCACTGAGGTCGATAAGAGGAGTATTTGAGGGCTTAAGGTCATCTTTCTTAAAACCGAGCTTTTCAAACAGATCCATATATATGATTTCTGACGAACTCTGAGCAGAGTTGTTTGTGGATATTTGAGGGTTGGTGGCGGCATGGATTATATCAATTACCCCAACTGGAGTGTTGTGGTCCCTTTTTAGCTCGGCACTCCTCCCATTTGTTTTTTGCTCACTTTCAATGAACTCTACGAGGTGTCCAGCTTGGGCTAACTCCTCCAGATGTTGCTTGAGAGATCGGCAATTCTCAGTCATGTGTCCAATATCCTTGTGATACGAGCACCTAAAATTTGGATTCCTTTTAGATGGATCACTTACTAACTTGTTCGGCCATTTGTAGAAAGGTTTTCCTTTGATCTGACTTAGAATTTTGTAAATTGGTTCCTTGAACAATGTGTTCACCCCCAGAAAAGGGGATTTTTGGGGATATCCATCCTTCTCATATTTTTGTCCTCCTTCTCTGTTCGGCTCGGTTTGCTTGTCTCTTCCTAGTTGTCTCCTGCTCGGATGTTCCTTAACCACTTCTCTGGATAAGTCGTCATCAACCTTTGCATATTTTTCAATTCTTGCCATCAATTCTTCCAGGTCAGTAGCAGGTCTCCTTGTGAGCGATTGGTATAAAGGGTTTTCTTTCAACAAGCCAATCTTGAAGGATGCAACTGCAATATCTGGATTGCATCCTTCGACTTTATTCATAGTCTCCTAATAACGATGTGCATACTCTCGCAAGCTTTCGTTACTCTTCTTTTTTAGCGTCAGTAGAGCCCCAACATCCTTTGGCTGTTTACTGCTTGTGATGAATCGAGCGGTGAACAGCTCGGCTAATTGAGACCACCCGTTAATCGTTCCCTTTGGTAAGCTATCGAACCACTTCATGGCAGACTCCCCAAGGCTACTGTGGAAGATTGTGCAAAGCAGTGACTTGTTTTTTTGGTGAATAGTCATCAGTTGTCGGAAGTGCGTGATATGCGAGACTGGGTTGGTCTTTCCGTCGTATAGTTTGAAGTTCGGGACGGTGAATTTGCTCGGGATGCGTGCCTTTTCAACCCAGGCAGTGAATGGAGATGACTCCAATTCGTCTCCATACTCCCCGGTTGCTCTTTTGGCAAGGTCTCTGGCCGACCTCTGCTCTGGTCTTTTCAAGCGAATGTTGAGCTCTTCATCTATTTATTGTTTCCACGTGTCCTCATCCTGGATCCGAGGCTTCTTCTGTCGGTAATCTTTCTCATCGGCAATTTTAACTCTGCTGGGTTTCTTTTCCAAACTTTCTTGTCGACCTTCTATCGCCTGTTTTTCCCTTTTGGTCATCTCCTTTAACTTGGCTTTCAATTCCTCATTTTCTTTGATCAAATCTTTCTCCCTAGCGTAGGATTTCTTGAACAGCTTGTCGTGGGCATCAAGTCGATCCTGTAGGGACTGGACCAGCTTTGCCAAGGAATGGTTTTCTCCCTCGGCACGGAGAGATTTACCATGATCCTCGCTTTGCTGGTTCTCGTTTTTCGAATGCTTGAAACTCGCGGAGGATACCTCGTCACCTTCATGGATTCTGGAGGGGCTTCTGACTGCATGCAACCTTGCGTTTCTGTCAAAAGGAAGAGTCGCAGGAGCTGAGTTCCCCAAGGCAAAACTGCCTATGGGTAATCCAATTGCGCTTCTGAGTCTTGATATCGTAGCTTTTTGTTCTGAAAGATGAAGATTTTCCCACAGATGGTGCCAAAATGTAGAGGCAGAAAATTGGTTTTACCTCTGTGTGAATTTGTGATACAATTTCTGGGAATGAAGTCTGAACAATCTCCTCAACTCTTTCTTGCAAAACGAACAAACTGCCCAAGATCGAAGTGCTTCGATCGAAGGTACTCCGATGCTTAAGTCAGTAATGGAACAGAAAGAATTGTGCTAAGTTTAGGAGAATTCAGCGTACCTTTCACCTTGGTCTTTTTTGCTTTTTATAGATCATTATCTCCTTAGGGTTTCCACGATTTTAAGTTCAAGGTGGCACACCTTCCTTCAATTCAGTCATTCAGTTTGGGAAGTTGCTAACATTTCTCTAATAATTCCTCGTGATATCTACAATTTCGTTGATTCGTTTATCTGATTGCCTAAGTTATAGGCATATTTTTATCCTTATGTTTATCCAAAACAGCTCGAACATATCAAATGCTGAGCACACTTGATTTTTGCCGAACAGACTAAGGAACTTGGTTTGGCACAAACCGATTTCCTCAATTACCTTGCTGAATACTTTACCGGACTTGGCTCGGTTGGAAAGCTCTGAATAGATGATCCTTCATCACGTGGCTGGTCTTATGAACATCACGTGAACACATTTAATGTTGTGTCACGTGTAATCATGAGGTTTAACCCCTTCAATTATGTTTTTTAAACATTCCTGTTTCACCGGAATTATGCATTGCAACGAAATTTTAATACTTCATATACATATTTGATTTGAGAACAAAAAATTACTTCTTTTTTTTAGTCAAATTAAGTTGCAACTGCATGAGATAACTTCACGATTGATCATAGAATGTTTTGGTCAATCATAAATACCTTGATCATTTGTAATTTTACAATAAGTAACAACTTTATCTTAAAAGTTGTAATTTTTATCACTTTTTCAGTTATAATTTTTATTTCAAATTTCAAAAAGTTATATTTTGTATGGTAATATTTCTCATTTGATTTGACATTTTGATAGTGCAATAATGGTGGCAGGTGCATCAGAACTTTGTGGTTTCCTTGATTCAATGAATATTAGGTAGAGTTTCCCTGCAGATTTCCTCCTTTTTACATTGTTATAAATTATAATCACTCCATTATATTGTATTCTTTCCAAAGGGGTGTTTATAATCACTCCTTTTTCCATTGCTTTAACATGGACTGTAATTTTCTCGCTAAGTTGCCACACATTCTGTTTCCTTATGTTTATTGCTTTATTTTGACAAAGTTAAATTTGGTAGAGGATTGACAAAACTTTCTTTTGTAGCTACAGTTATTGTATTGGTTTATTATTAGCTCATCTTAACCAAAAAGCTAAAATATGGCACTCCTTTGAACTCCTCTGGATATTCAATTCTCATAGCAACTTCATTGGAATGTATTTGTATCTTTGAGATAATAATTGCCCAGAACCCAATAAAAGGTAAAATATTTCAATTTCTTATAGAAATTCTGATTCTCTTTTTGGGTGACTATAATTTTAATCCACCATACATATCCTCAGAACTTATCACGTGCTTCACTTTAGTAACTTTTCCAGAAAGTCAGCACAGTTACTGCATTTGTGTACAGGAAAGTGTTAAAGCAGTCTTATGGGCTCCAAATTAATTGTGACAAAATGTAGGGGTTTGTTATGTGATTTATAATCATTTTTATTCCATGATCCATGATGGTTTGCTTGTTATTGGCAGTAATTAGTTTTTTTGATTTGTTGTAGAACCCTCCTCTTATTGAATCTATGGCTGTCTTAAAATTAGTTTCTTCCATCTTCTTCCCATCTCAAGAGGAGCCACTCGCAGTTTAGTTCCAATCTAAATTTATCTGAATTTTTAGTTCTTTTAGAGGCACTTATCTCCTCATTTTAGAATGTGGATCCTGTTATTCATGACAAGTTTTGAATTAACTCAGAGATGAAAGTAGCATATGATCAATGTTCAGAATTTAGACCGAGGAACTGTATCATTCTCCTTTCATGAATACCAGTTCTCCAGCCTCTACTCTGACGAAGTGTTGCTGACCTATGTTACACTTGCAGCCTAATAAGAGATGGGATTTACTTAAGATTTTTAACAAGTAAAGAGGACAAAAAGTGAGATAAGTCACAGCAGATTCAGATTTTCTCCCCATTGTCATTCTCTGAAGGTCCTACCATGCACTGAAGTACTGAACAGTGTGTGGGTTCATTATATCAGCCAGACTAAATATTTGCCTCTCTTCTTTGGGATGTGGGGGTAGCTTAACCATATGCTTTCACATCTGCCTTGATTACTCATTCCTAGTAATGCCCAAACCACATTGTGTTTGTATTTCCACTTTGCTGATTTGAACTGTTGACAATACAGTTACAATATGCTCTGAGACCTTTTAATGAGTTCAATCAAATGTTCCAGTAGATTAATTTGAATGCTACATGTGAAAGTTGAAACATAACTCTACTTTCAGGTTGTGGTTGTACACATAAATTTGTCATCACTTGTTTGTAGATATCACTAGTTTTTTTCATTAGGATCATCATATGTTGAGGAGTGACATATGATCTAGAGTTAAGATCTCCGCGGAGTGATCACTATCTTATGTCTAAAAATAATAAATCACTGGACCCAGCATGCTTTTGAATTTTCCATTAATTAGCTTGTGTGGGTGCTTGCATGTTCAATCAAGCTCGATAGAATCTATTTTTGTTTTATGCATACTCCAGTCTATGAATCAGTAGCAATTAGTCATTTGAAGAATTCATTAGTTGTGAACATGGCCATGTATACAAATTTTGCAATCTTATTCATTCGTATTGTTACCTTTTATTTTTTATTTGTAACTTGTTTCTCATAATTACGGGGACACGAATTTACTGTTCTTCAGAAGGGGACTAATCACTCGAAATGTCAAGGCAGCAGTTGATTTGTTTCATCAACACTTTGGGGTAAGTTTTCCTTTGTTTATGGTGTGTGTAATCATATATTTTGAGCATAAATCATTATTTATTGTTTTATAGAGATTGAAAATATTAGACAGTGAAGGAATTTACACAAGGACCGGAGGAGGTTATCCCTGTAGAAGTATTCTTCAAATATGATTGTTTCTTGGTCTTTATCTTTTATTATCTTTATTTCCATGGGGTGTAATGGGAAGCTTACTTGATTTAAAAATACCATAATATTGAAACCAGTTTTTCTTCCTACCCTTTTCTTGTAATGTAATCATGTTTATCCCCATGGCCGGCTGCACATGGATATCATAGTTTGAGCAACACTCGACATTTACTTGATCATGCTCTGACTCTTCAGCTTTAACTAGATCCACATCTGCATTGACTAGTAAGCTTTAAATTAGATAAGAAACCTTCTCTGGACATGTGAAAGAAGCATGGTAATGTATAAGCTATATTCTATAAGTCATTTGATGTTTGAATTGTGTTCAAGGCGTAATAGTTTTCTTTATATTCTTTAGTTAGATAATCAGTCCTTCGGTTCACGTCAACCAAGCATTTTCTACCCCCTGGGGAGACTTGGGGGGCGGGAGTTCTCCCCCTTTTTGTCATGAGTCTTGCAAGATGTCCCCTGTAATTTGTGTGTTACTTTCCTGAGTTTTCTACTGTGCTCCCAAGCAGTAACACTATTATAGGCCGAGGACTATTCTAATTCCTGAGCCCGATGAGAGATGAGCCTGGAATAAAATATGCTGTCCAAAAAATTTTGGAACTCAAAGCTGTTTCCATGTCTGAAAGGAGTGACTTGAGGGTTCAAATAGTTCTACCTTAACTTGGAATAATTAATCAACACTAGATAACACATAGCTCTTGCAACCATCGTTCTCAATAAAAACAGGAGAACTGACATGATGATGGTTTTTATGGCTCAACTGTTCACTCCACGAACAGATAATAGACACTGTGTCATAGGTTCACAGTTTTGCATATAATTCTTCAAGTGTGACCACAAATAAAAGGGAATACAAACATAAAAGTCAATTTTCATGCCTCCAGCATACTTTGGGGATTCAAGTATGGTATATGTCCAAGTTCTAACCAACTTAAGTTTATTAAATACAAATTGTTTCAATCCCTATGTCAAAATTTTGAGTTTAGAATAGATATGGAACTAAGATTTACAGTTGAATTCTCAACAGAATCTTGTTCTGGTTCATTGAATTGATTTCTGAACAATAGTTCTTTTCTTGTTCACGCTACCAGAGTCAGAATGTAGGCCGGTATGTCCGAGTGCCCCATGAGATTGACAATTGAGATCATGATCTCTAGTTGCATTAATTTGAGACAGAAAAGGGAGATTGAAATGAGTCATTTGAAATAACTACAAAAATTTGTTGAGCACTCCTCTGACAGCTAACTATATGGAAGCAAAGCAGTTTTTATTGTGCCTGTCAGACTCGACATCAATATCTTGTTACTAAAATTGAGCCCTCTGACCCCACACTGAGGATACTCTCGCTCAGTAGGAGCGATGGTTTTCGTACTTCCTACGTGATCAAGTGGTGCCATTTCACTATAGATTTATCCTACACTTTGATAATGCTAGCGCTACACGCGTGGCAGCCACTCGTGTGTTCCTTCCAAGTTCTTTCTTTCATAAGCTATATCTTTTTTTTTTTATCTGGTTCATCAGCTGTTTTGAATTAACATGTTTGCTTTGTTTTCTATTTTTCTGCAAAATAATTATTTTCTCTCTTCTTAAAGTCGTCTTTGATTCTTTGCAGACTCTTAATCTTCTAGAGGTTGTTAACATTTTTCTGAAAACCTGTTGTAGCTAATTGGTTAGTTTGTGCAATTGTGTATTTCTTATTTGGAGAGTAAACTTGTTTACATAGAAGAAATGAACCAAGAAGTTATATGCTAACTTTTGAATCTATTTGTTTCTTTCATGATTAACAACGAAATTTGGGTTCTTGTGTGTCCTTGAATTTTATTGTTTTGTTTGTTAGGATGAGCATGCAGAATGGTCCTGCTAGTTTGCAGGTAAAGCTTGTCGTATGTGGTTGTACAAACCTAGGTCAAAAGTCTACGTCTTTGTCATGTTGAGTGCACATTCTCTTCTGTGTGTATGTATTTTGAGTATACACTTTTAATGTAATGAGGAAATGACTTGTAACTGTGAAGCAATAAGGCGTCATACAGTCCTTAAAGGACTCTTACTTTCTATTATCAGAACTTTTTGGCTCACTTTTTGATTTTAACAAATGTGAAAATGTAATTTGTTGCCACAGATCACATTTTGTCCAGCACTGAGCAGGGAATTTCGTCCTTATAAACCAGACCCAGCTCCACTGCTGCATATCTGTACAACCTGGGAATTTCAACCAAGTGAAGTTATGATGATCGGTGACAGCCTTAAAGACGACGTGAGAATTTTTATTTTGGTGGAGTAAATGTTTCTAATTTATTTTGAGGTGCTATCTTGTTGCTCCTCATGCCTTATATTTACATGAAGAACTCCTCTTTTGGCACAAGAAATTTTCATTTGATAATATAGAAATCCGTTATTAGATAGTTCTAACCCAATGGTTCTGGGATTTACTATTGATTTCTGCATGAAAAAGGGTCTGATGGTCTTGAGCATCTAATTTACCAAGCTAAAAAAAGGCAGATTGAGGGAAAAACTTTTCCAACCAGGTGCTTCAAAATCATCCGTCTCTAATCCGGCCAAATCTACTTTCTTGCTATTTATATGCTTTTCTTTTTGGTAATTGATGATTGCTTGCATTTGGGAAATGAATCATGACATGCTCTACCATTTGCTAAGCTATCATTACAGCTTTGCCCTGTTGAACTAACTGTTCATCCTATCTGGGTTACCTCTACATTCTCTTATTAACTTACCATATAAATCCTATCTGGTATTTGTCACTTGGATAACTGTATGGTTGTCTGTTGTTATTTGGTTTTTGCAGGTGGCTTGTGGGAAACGAGCAGGAGCTTTTACATGCTTGCTTGATGAAACAGGGAGGTATGATTCTCCGGTACATGCCACCATGGCTTATAAACCAGATTACAAGGTGTCTTCTCTTGCTCAGGTTTCTTCACTATTGGAAGCAAATTTTGACCTGACACCCTAATCCTCAGACTCTTTTGAGACTTTCAAATGGATAAGCGCTGAGATTATGATTTACTAATATAAGCCCGACTCTGCAAGTTTTCAGACATGTTTGTTTCAATTATGTGAAATATTTCAATGGTAGCGGAAGCCTCTCCATTCTAAACAAGGAAAATAACACAAGAATTTGTGGTTCCCAGCGAAAAGAAACTGTTCTTTCTTGAATCCAGCAGCCTGAAGTCTTGCCTCGAGTGTTACCTGTTGCTTTGTGGTGGGATCAATGGCCTGCAAAGTACCAACATTATGCAAAAAATAGTTTGCTTTGATATATAACTATTTGAGGGAGATTGTCCAATGCATACCTCGGTGCACATTCATATTGTATAGAATGGTTCTAGCCAGTCACACTTACCAGAGTGAAGATCATCGTTTTACATGTACATGCATCTTACTTTTATTGTAATCTTATCGCCTATTTATGAACTCTATAGGCTTCTATTGCGATTTTCTCTTTCCTCTTTTGGGAAGGGAGAGAACATCGTATAACTTTGTGACAGTTACTCCATTTCATATACACCTGGAAATCCAAATGCGAAGTATGAAAAAGGGAAGGATGGTTGGGTTTTGTTTTCATTGGGGCAAATAGGAGATCTTCAGGCAAAGCAAAAGCATTAGAAAAGGCTACCATGACATACTACTTGAGCATCCATCTAATCTACTTTTACAATGCAGCACTGGTAAGTTCCTACCTCAGGTTGCATTGGCCAGATTGACACCCCTAGTTGTATTTAGATCTTTTCTGTTTTAATATTTTATCGATTCTAATCAAGTTCAATCATTCGTTTTTGAATAAATTTATTATATCCCATTGGTGGTCAGTGAGGTCCATAAAATCCACTACCGGGATTTAATAAGTTTAACAATGGATTTTTGAGTTCGATTAAAATTGAAAAAAAATATAAAATTGAAAGAATTCTTATGCCCCATAGTTTTTTGGAAAGTGAAAATGCACTGTTCTCTCAACACTTGCAACGGTCAATCAAGACTTGCACAGTTGGCCGAGAGGTTGAACTCACACCCGGTCAATAGAGATCTGTCCTACTAACTAAGTTGTGCTGACATGTAAGAGATTGACTATCAGAGTTGTTAAGTTTTGAATTTAAAATGTCTGTATTTATAATTTATTTTTATCTCCACTTAAGCTAACTTATGCTCCGTTTAGTAGGCATGATGGAAAGTAGGAATGATGAAAAGTGGGAGGAATAAACTTTATATTCTTTAAGGATGAAAAATAAGAATGATACACCTTTCTTCTGTTGTGTTTGGTTGGATAGATGAAAAATAAAAATGATTAAATTTTTTTTTGTGCCGGCTAAAATTAGAGGTGACAATCAAGTCGTGTCATGTCAGATTCATGTTGAGTCATAAAATTATGAGTCTTTTATATTTCTTATTCTCGTGTCAGGTCATTTTCAAGTTTGAGTTGAGTTATAATCAAATTCGTGTCATAAAATTCGTGTCGAGTTCAAGTTGTGTCATCGTGTTGAGTCAAAAATTTTCACCCCTAGTTAAGATGATTTTTTTTTAATTTTTAAATTTATTTTTTTAAATTTTTTAATACATATTTTATTATTGTATTTTTATATGAAATTGATGTATACATAATATATAGACGAATAAGATACATTTCAATACAAATAATTAACTTTCCTTCCGATTTTAGAGGGATTGATTTTGGTGAGTTAGAAGGAAAGTTAATCTATTTATTTTTTCATCCTTCCTATTTTCTTTCTTTACTAAACATGATGTTTTATTTATCTCTCAAATTTTTTATTCGTTCAATTTTTCATCATTTTATTTTTTCATCATATCAAATGGAGCATTAGAGTTTGATTCCCCATAAATAATTAACTAGGCAAGAGGTTTATATGGATATGATTTTGTGGCTCGTGTCTAAAATTGTGCAATATATTATATTAATTTTGAGTTCTATCAATTTTAATCAAGTTTAATGGTGTGATAATTTAATAATTTAACGGTAAATGATTGAACTTAAAAAATTTATAGCAGGATCCAAATTTTTTCTGTTTTGCTCATTGCCGCCATTACAGGTAATTCTGTTACACGCCAACAGCCAATATCCCGCAACCACGTGTCAAATCTCGAAGATAAACTTTCAGAATGACCAAAAACAACCACTAAACCATGACGTGTCACAAATTTATTGGTCAACATGTTATCAACCGTACCAGAATCTCCTTATAAATCCCTCCGAAAGCCTTAAAATTTACCCGCGCGCTTCAGCATTCGAAATACCCAGAAAATTTACACAGAGAGAGAGAGAAGATGAGTGATCAAGAACCAGAGATGAATAAACTATCAGAGCTCCAAGAAAACAAAGAACACAGTGGTTTGGACACCGCCACCATTGACCACCTCACCATGCTCTGCCTCACCAGTCCCACTGAAAACCACCACCACTCGACCACCACCACAGAACCACCTGTCTCAGCACAGGATCACTACACCATGTTCGGTAATGGTTCTATGAAGAGACAATCACCCTCTTCAACTTCTTTCCAAGAACCCACCTCCAAGAAACCCACCCTCCAACCGCCCTCCTCCTCCACCACCACCACCACCACCACCACCGATCACTGCCGTCTCCGCGGCTTCACCAAGCTTACACTTCCCGTCGTAGCTCCTGTTCTCCGCCGCTGTGTCTCTGACCCAGTTAATTCTCCGGGAATCAACAATGGTAGAGCTTCGAACACGCAAATCACCGGTACTTCCTTTGCCTCGGTTCAATTCTCGAACCCTCAATCGGCGGAAAATTTCAACGTCTCTGTACCGGTGGCATCTCCATCTCCGGCTAAGCCGCCTCTTTCCCAAATATATCGCCGGTCGGTGTCTGATCTGACTTCATCGGCGTACCAGTTGACCACCACCACTCCGCCACGGGCTCCGGTGGCGAGAACATTTTCAAGTTCTCCAAGTTCCGTAGAGATGGGTCCTCATTCTATTGAAAGAGACAGTCCTAATGCTAAGGTTGGTTCTTGGTGATTTTGTCCTTCAGATTTATTGATTAAAATGCCATTGATTTTGTTGGGTAATTGGGTACAGAGGTTGAAGAGAATGAAGGATCGGATGAAAGAGATGAGCCAGTGGTGTGATCAGGTCATGCGTGAAGGTGAAGAAGAAGGCTCTGACCACCCACAAGATAACAACATAAACACCCTACAGGTCTCATTTCTTTTCATCTCATTTTCTCTGAATTTAATCACAAATGTGTTTGAGACTCATATATGCATTGTATTTATTGGATTGTTGATTCAGTTGGTTTCAGTTTCTTCTCAATTAAGTGGTTGATTCAGTGTGGAATTTTCGATTCACCAAGAACATTTTTCATCTAATTATCTGTTTCAAGTAATTAAGGTGGATACCTTTGTGGGATTTCCTATGATAAATGGGTAGTTTGTACAACCCTTGGTTGTGATTTTTTTTGCTAATGTTCTTTCTTGTTATTTCCTATGTAGCTACTTATGTGGTATTTTGATATCTAAGTGGGTATTTTTAGCATTTAAGTGACTCCTCTGTTCTAATTCTGTATTATGTGCATTGTATACATTGAATTTTTTGGTTCAGTTGGTTTCAGTTTCTTCTCAATTCAGTGTAGTTTTGATAGTTAAGTGGGTAATTTTGCTCATTCTGTGTTCTTGTTTTACAACTGAACATTATTCATCTAATTGTCTGTTTCAACTGATTAAGGTGGGTTNCACCACCACCACCGATCACTGCCGTCTCCGCGGCTTCACCAAGCTTACACTTCCCGTCGTAGCTCCTGTTCTCCGCCGCTGTGTCTCTGACCCAGTTAATTCTCCGGGAATCAACAATGGTAGAGCTTCGAACACGCAAATCACCGGTACTTCCTTTGCCTCGGTTCAATTCTCGAACCCTCAATCGGCGGAAAATTTCAACGTCTCTGTACCGGTGGCATCTCCATCTCCGGCTAAGCCGCCTCTTTCCCAAATATATCGCCGGTCGGTGTCTGATCTGACTTCATCGGCGTACCAGTTGACCACCACCACTCCGCCACGGGCTCCGGTGGCGAGAACATTTTCAAGTTCTCCAAGTTCCGTAGAGATGGGTCCTCATTCTATTGAAAGAGACAGTCCTAATGCTAAGGTTGGTTCTTGGTGATTTTGTCCTTCAGATTTATTGATTAAAATGCCATTGATTTTGTTGGGTAATTGGGTACAGAGGTTGAAGAGAATGAAGGATCGGATGAAAGAGATGAGCCAGTGGTGTGATCAGGTCATGCGTGAAGGTGAAGAAGAAGGCTCTGACCACCCACAAGATAACAACATAAACACCCTACAGGTCTCATTTCTTTTCATCTCATTTTCTCTGAATTTAATCACAAATGTGTTTGAGACTCATATATGCATTGTATTTATTGGATTGTTGATTCAGTTGGTTTCAGTTTCTTCTCAATTAAGTGGTTGATTCAGTGTGGAATTTTCGATTCACCAAGAACATTTTTCATCTAATTATCTGTTTCAAGTAATTAAGGTGGATACCTTTGTGGGATTTCCTATGATAAATGGGTAGTTTGTACAACCCTTGGTTGTGATTTTTTTTGCTAATGTTCTTTCTTGTTATTTCCTATGTAGCTACTTATGTGGTATTTTGATATCTAAGTGGGTATTTTTAGCATTTAAGTGACTCCTCTGTTCTAATTCTGTATTATGTGCATTGTATACATTGAATTTTTTGGTTCAGTTGGTTTCAGTTTCTTCTCAATTCAGTGTAGTTTTGATAGTTAAGTGGGTAATTTTGCTCATTCTGTGTTCTTGTTTTACAACTGAACATTATTCATCTAATTGTCTGTTTCAACTGATTAAGGTGGGTTCCTAAGTGGGTAGTTTTTACCATTCTTGGCTGTGCTTTTTTTAGTTAATCTTTTTTTTTCCTTCTTAAGTGGGATTTCCTATTTTTAGTTAATCTTATTCTTGGTTTGTTTGGTCTCAATGACTTTGTTGCTACCTACCTAAGTGGTTCTTTCTTAATTGACAGACTGATTAATGTGGAATTCTTTATATTTAAGTGGTTAATTTTGGCCATTTTGAGTTCTTGGTTTCCAATTGATTATTTTTCACCTATTTATCTGTTTCAACTAATTAAGACGGATACTTTTGTGGGATTTCCTAAGCTAAAGTGAGTAGTTTCCACAATTATTTGTTGTGATTTTTTTTTTTGTTAATCTTCATTCTTGATTTGTTTGGTCTCCATCACTTTCTTGCTACCTAAGTTGTTCTTTCTTGTTATAGGATAACTGTGAGGCTGAAGCTGAAGAAGCTATCCAGGAAGCTGTGTGGGTGGAGAGGAGTGGGGAGGGCTTGGTCATTCACTTCAAGTGTCCCTGTGGTGAGGGCTATGAGATCCTTCTCTCTGGAGATCACTGTTACTACAAATTGATGTAATCTGAGGCGGACCTGCTCAATTTGGGTGAATGCAGCCCAATTCACCTGAGTATACATCCTTCTTTGGTTTCATTTATTTTTTCATAAAGACTTGGGTAGGTGACACCCATTTAGATCTGATTAATGCTACTTTTACCAAATTTCTGCATCAAATCTTCAGTGCTAAATGATGTGTGACCCATTCACCACCATTAGAGATTAGTGGGTCTCATTAACATTCAACGGTGAACGTAATTACATCATTTTTGGTATGCAAAAATTTGTTGTAAAAATTTGGGAAGAGCAACATTACCGCTTCAACGTAGTAATCTTCAGTTTCAGGGTTTCAACATTGTTTAAAAGATTCTTTAGATTTAAGTGTTACCCAATTCAGATGCATTGCTCCTTATATTTGTTTTCCACTTTCTTTCAAAGATTTAAAGGAGCAAACCCATTATCCTGGTGATTGCTAGGATTTAGATTTACAGAATACTTTGTGGAGATTAAATTCCAATAGCCTGATTTTGTTGTATCTTACCATCTAGGTAAGTCCTTTCCTCTTCTAGATGTATTTTTGTAGGAGCAAAAGGGTGTAACAAAAAAAATACTTTAGCCTTTCCTCTTGTCAAATGAGCACAGTGAATGAATGAATTCAGTTTCTCTGTTTCTCATGCCAGTTAAAAGCTCTTGGTGGTGATACATTTTTATTTATTTATTTTTTTGAGATGGTTGTGTGTGTGTACTCAATTTCTATACTCAGAATCTGAATTTGTGTCCTTTCTTGTATGTTCCATCTCACTCTATAAGCAAAATGACATCAGGTAGCAAAGCACCAAAATGCATTTGGTTTGAAACTTGACGAGGTACTGTTTGGTAACATTTTTATAATATTAGTTGTTGCACACGTGCGTTACACGTGAATAATTTTGATTCTAATTGTTATTGATTATTTTTATTTGTTCAAAATTGAAGCCATTGAATATACGGTGATATATTTATTGCACGTGTATTTAGACGATATACCAAGGTTGGTTTAGATCTCTTATAGATAGATATGAGAAAAAGGTTAGAGTATTTTTTTTTGGCAAAAAATTTTATTTCAAGATTTATATGTAGGGAAATAATTGGGGCCTGTCACATGCATTCACTACTAGGTAGAAAACCATTATTGACATATAATTATAAGTCAAGTCTTCCATTTTATAAAAAACAGTTTTCACAATATATTAACTATAAGGTCTATGTTAAACATACATTTTCTTAATTTATCTTTATACATTAAATCTAAGAAACTCTTCAAACAATTTGTTTTAATTTATTTATGTGAATATAGATATATGCATTTCTAGCATTCATGCCAAAATTATGGCAATGGTAGATAGTGTATACATAAGTTATCTATATGAGTGTATGTGTAGTTGATGAATCGGTCAAAAGCTTACGTAAAGCCATATAGGTTTACAGGAGGAAGAATCAAGATTGAAGACAGTTGTGCACCATATGAAGGTTAATAATCGTTTTGAGTGGCACTATAATTGCGTTAAATGAACTTTCAAATGATAACCTATTTTCATTGTGATAGATAGTTTTTAGTCATATTGTTTGAGGTTATTACTGATAAATGCATTTGTCAATTCAAAAACATGTTTAAAACTAATGTCGAACATGCCAAACATTTACAATTGACAAACATGCTTAACTAATATCAACTTCTCATTTTATTTTCTGGGAATCAATTACGTACAGACAAATAGATAGATTACTGCACTCTTCTTAATTGATACCTCTCCCTTATATATGAGTTTAAGAACTGAAGAGCGAGATCCAATGGTTGGTGTTGACTTCTAATTATATTCTTTTTTCAATTGTTTATTATCTTTATCTCTCATATTCTTTCATCCTTCTTTCAGATATTACTTGTTAAAGGATAACCCACCTATATGACACACTAAGTAATGAAATAGAGAAGACCAACAATGTGACAAAAATAAATATCACCAATAAAGTCACACCAACAACTCATTAGGAATGGAAAAAATACCCACTTCCAAAAACCAGACCTTTTATGTCAATAATGTACCTTTTGATTGACCTTCTCACATTTTCCTTCATCCACTCAACAAACTTAGAGAAAGAAGTAGTAACATGACAACCAAATTAGCACTAATTAGCAATTAGTTCTGCTTTGTCATAATTTTATATTTCAAAAGCTCATGAAGAATAATTAAACAAATGTTCCCCGAAAAAGCAACGGTGGTTAAGGGTTTATGTTGTCTCGAGTAGCCATGTAGGAGTAATAAATATTGGGTGTAACAGTAACACTATATCATTATTGACACGTGATATCACAATCCAATAATAAACTTATAAATGGACAAGATGAACTCCACTTGGAATGACATGACAGGGTGGTTACTTGAATATGTGGAATTCACATGCTTATTTGTTATATTTTTATTGCATAGTAATATCAAGTGATAATGATGATGTACGTGATATCACCGTTACATCTAATATTTTTTCCTGTAGGAGGTATTTTGGTATTAAGTGGATGGACGCATTTGCCTTTCAAACATTACCCTTGTGTGACCATATGAAGGCAGTGGTGTAATAGACAAACATTTACTTATATCTCTTCTTGCTTCAAAACAAACATATGGGGTCCAACCAAAATACTTTTCTTTGCTTGACTAATTCTTCCTCACATTTTTCATTTCTCCTATCCAATGAAGTCTAAATTGAAAGTTCCATTTGAGTAATTATTATCAGAAGTTTTTATGAACCTTCATTTTTTTCCCCCTAATTTAAATTCTTACCGGAGTTCTCTCTCTGACGAAAGATGTAACACAATGGTGTAATTGAAATTCTGAAATGATTTTTTGACGCTAACCAAAATATGTTCTCCATATTTTATGCAGCATCAAAAGTTCATTGTTAACCATTTATCATCAAGAATGATGCACACTAATTCTTATTAAACTTTAGACATCTAAAAAAAGTTGGAATCAATTCAAGGAAATAAGAAAAATGATTCATTCGCAAGTTATCAACACTATTGGACACTTAATATTTTGATAAATTGCCCTTACTGTTTGACACCTCATCTTAAAATTTATACACCCACCGCAAGAAAGGGTTCATTGAAGCAAACCATCAACCATAGGTTCGTAAGCAGTCATAAGAAACTCAGCACTTGAACACATGTATTAATTCAACAAGTGACAACAATATATAACTCAACTAAAAAAATAAATGTGACATGGTTCAAGGTAGTAAACAAAGGAAAATACAAAACCTTAGCAATAAGCCAAATTGTATCAAAAACATTGGCCACAATTGATGCTTCTGAGTTACGCATTATAGGTCGGGATGAACGGCTTGTTTTTGCGACAAGGCCTAAGTCTCTGAATTCCTATCATTAAGGGAAGAGTAGAAATATTTCGTTAGTACAAATTGATCGAAAAAATGACACCTAAAATAATAAGATTCATATAACCATCATATATAACATCATAAATAAGCAAAAACTTGAAGCAATTGATTTAGTACAACAGGTGCCAAATGGTAAAAGTATGGACCAAAGGCATTCAAAAACTTTATTAATCTTCATAACATGTGCCAGTGTTTGGAAAAACAAAAAAAAGAATATAACATCATTACACAAAGTATAATAAAATCAGCCATGAGCATGATTACTTGAAACTTGAAAGTGACCATAAGTATATAACTTGTTGCATATACTTATGAAGAAAAAGGATATTGGTGGATGATCTTCTTCACCGTCCACTCAGAAGCCTTTGCTGCTCCTTTTAATTGAAGGACTATGTCCAATATGCCCTTTCTTCTGCCATGAGGTCGATGGTTTACAACTTCTTGACGTTTGAAAGGATCACTATTTAAAACCTTTAGATTCAGAATTCCTATAGTCATATCTCAAAACAGTTATGGTAACTATAAGATGAAGGTTAAAATGGTGGAATTTATTAAAATTGTAATGGATGGTTAGGAGAAAAAAGAGTAATGAAAGGTTACTCAAGGTACTATGTAATGAATAACATTTTTGTGTTGCATGCTATTTTGGATATTTAAGATATGTTAGAGGGTAAAAGAGTGAAATAAAAGTTTTTTCAATATGTGTACATTTAGAAGTAGTATAGATTTAGATTGTCTATTTTGTAAGGACTTTTTATGTAGCACCTTTTTCCTTGTCCAAGCTTGCTACCATCTTATAATTATAATCACATGTATAGTATTATAATACTCACATACATAACCATATCATTTACTTTGTCACAAATCATTTTTACAAAGGAAAAAGAGACCAAATTCAATTGACAGAATCATATAAGGTGTCTCACCCCATAAATTCATGTTTTAGATAACTTGGTATAAAGAAACATTTATGGAAGGAGGTTCAAGCCTGACTGACTGGCCCATGAGAGTGGCAAGGATGCGACACCCATGAGCAATGATATAAAAGACCTAATTTAATATAATTTTTGAATTAATTACGAGTTTTAAAATTAAATAAAATTTACCCTCAATTTGATAATTATATTAAATTAAGTAGATCTTGATTTTATTTTATCCAATCGATTATTGATTAGACCANTTTGGAAAAACAAAAAAAAGAATATAACATCATTACACAAAGTATAATAAAATCAGCCATGAGCATGATTACTTGAAACTTGAAAGTGACCATAAGTATATAACTTGTTGCATATACTTATGAAGAAAAAGGATATTGGTGGATGATCTTCTTCACCGTCCACTCAGAAGCCTTTGCTGCTCCTTTTAATTGAAGGACTATGTCCAATATGCCCTTTCTTCTGCCATGAGGTCGATGGTTTACAACTTCTTGACGTTTGAAAGGATCACTATTTAAAACCTTTAGATTCAGAATTCCTATAGTCATATCTCAAAACAGTTATGGTAACTATAAGATGAAGGTTAAAATGGTGGAATTTATTAAAATTGTAATGGATGGTTAGGAGAAAAAAGAGTAATGAAAGGTTACTCAAGGTACTATGTAATGAATAACATTTTTGTGTTGCATGCTATTTTGGATATTTAAGATATGTTAGAGGGTAAAAGAGTGAAATAAAAGTTTTTTCAATATGTGTACATTTAGAAGTAGTATAGATTTAGATTGTCTATTTTGTAAGGACTTTTTATGTAGCACCTTTTTCCTTGTCCAAGCTTGCTACCATCTTATAATTATAATCACATGTATAGTATTATAATACTCACATACATAACCATATCATTTACTTTGTCACAAATCATTTTTACAAAGGAAAAAGAGACCAAATTCAATTGACAGAATCATATAAGGTGTCTCACCCCATAAATTCATGTTTTAGATAACTTGGTATAAAGAAACATTTATGGAAGGAGGTTCAAGCCTGACTGACTGGCCCATGAGAGTGGCAAGGATGCGACACCCATGAGCAATGATATAAAAGACCTAATTTAATATAATTTTTGAATTAATTACGAGTTTTAAAATTAAATAAAATTTACCCTCAATTTGATAATTATATTAAATTAAGTAGATCTTGATTTTATTTTATCCAATCGATTATTGATTAGACCATAATGAACAATTAACTATTAAAATTGTGACATTTTGCATAAATTGTTAAATTTTGGTATTATAAATTTTAGATTATTTTAAATTATTAATGGTGCGATTAATTTGCTTTTTACATTTAATAATTAAATTATGCTCGATTAACTTTATTCATCTTATTGTAACTAATAATTATACTATACTGAGATTGATTTTTCTTATATATTCTATGTAAGTAAATGTTATAATATGAATAATCTAATTGAATGATCCACATTGAGTAAAAATTATATTATTATATCACTATTTGACCCTTTTTAAAAGAAAATCCTAGTTCTGGCTCCGTTAATAAAGTTTTATTTTATTAATTTTATAAATTAAGTTTTTAAATTAAATTTAAATAAAATTTTTTTGTTCCGGCTTTGACCTATAAAATCCTAACAAGTAATAAGTGACACCCAAGACCTTTGTTTGTCCAGTAGCCAGGAACGGTATGGCGCGTTTAAGACAAAAGCCACGCTGTTGTTGTTGGTTGGGCCCCTTCAAATCTGGCCAGCAAAACTACAAACTGACGACCCTCAAAACCAAGAAAGGCATCAGCTGGAATCCACTATATCTCTCTCTCTAAACTTGACTGAATTCAGACTCCTCTTCTCTCTCTCTCTCTCTCCCTCTCTCTCTCTCTCGCTCGCATATGGCTCTTTCTTCTTGTTTGACGAATTCAGAAAGTCAGAAAGGGCAAGGGGGTTTTGCATATAGTTCTACTCCTTTGCTAATCTTGCTCTGCTCTCAATCTAGACACCTAATCTGAAAACCATGATTTACCCAGTAGTTTCCAATGGAAACCCATTTATCCCAACTAAGCTAAGGTTCCAAAACACACCACCAAAACCATCTCTCTTTCCCTTGAGACCAACCTATTGTTCTCAGCACCAAAACCAAGAGAACACCATTAATAAACCTACAAGACCCAAACCCCATCTCACAAAACCTATCAGAATAAACCCTATCCAAGTTCCTCCTAACAAAACCAACACCAAAGGGGTATATGGGGAAAGAAATGGATTTTCTCAAGTGGGTAGTCAACAGATGGTGGTTTTGTGTGGATTTGGGTACTGGGTAAATGGGTTTAGGTGCTTTCCTTGGCTGGGCCTCAACTTCCACATGGCTCACTCTCTTAATCTGTATCCATCAGTATTGCAGGTTGTGCAGCACTCTGCTAACCTACCCATGGTTGCCAAGCCTCTGTATGGAATCTTGTCCGATGCTCTGCATATTGGGGGTGCTCATAGAATACCTTATATTTCCATTGGAGGTAAGTTACAATCTAGTTTTACATTTCCTATTTTGTGGGGTTCATTTTGTGTTCTTGTAGTTGTACACCACAGTGGAATGCCACTTCACTGTTTTAGTTTACTGGAATTCTTTTTATATCACTGCTGCAATTCATGATATCTTTTTGGCCTTGATAGCCTTAATTGTTGATTTTCTCAGTGAGGAAGGTGTTTGAGTTATTGTTTCTTTTGCCATTCAGCATAACTTCAGATATGATATGTTAGCTGCTATATGCAAAAGGTTGCTGCAAAATTAATAATAGAATAGAGGTAACTACAAAAATACAGTTTTCTCACATTACAAGAAATTGTTAGTTGACTTTTCTCTGTATCATAAAAAGTGGTGTTACTTGTACAAAACAAGAAAGCAAAAGCCTTTTATGTCCAAGTTTCAATTTATGGGCAAATTCATTTCCCCTCTTGTGGTTTACCCCTTTTCCACTTCATTCTTGTGTTTCAAATATAGCCACATAATCCTCACATGATTTTGGACTATTGCTCAAAATGAACTGCTCTAATGTTGATGCCTAAAGAGATATCTAGGAATTACTTCTATTGTTCATATCCAAAAGCTTATACTTTTTCAGACCAAAAGCTTGTCCTAAATCTCAATAAATCTTGAGGTGATGGAGTGGCATGGCCCAGTGGTAAGGGCTCACTCCCGCCTGCAGGTGGTTGCACTTTCCCCAAAAAAAAGAAGTTATAAAAATGTCTCAATAAATCTGTAATTGATTTGACGAATGAAGCTGATATCATTGGAAAACTCACTGACCAAATGTGATTGAAGAGCCTGATATATAGCAAACTTCAGTCCTTCTGCAGGTCCTGGCTTGGGGGTCATTGGCATTGATCCCAACTGCAGGAGGAGCCCTTCCAACTCTCATGGCATGTGTTCTTCTCAGTAATCTTGGAGCATCCATCGCAGAAGTTGCAAAGGATGCTCTTGTTGCACAATATGGCCAGAAAAACAAAATGGACGGCCTCCAATCTTATGCATTAATGGCCTTAGCGGCCGGTGGAGTCTTGGGAAACCTGATTGGCGGCTTCTTCTTACTTAGGACACAAAAACCCAAATTAATGTTTCTAACTTTTGCAGCTTTACTTGCTGTTCTACTCCCAATCTTCTTAGCAACAAGAGAGGATTCACTTGGTTTACCTCAATCATCTAACCAAAGTATTCTGAAGAATTCTGTCTCACAGAGTATCTGGAAACAGTATGCTGAACTTGTAGTGACAGTTAATGAAGAAAGCATCTCCCGACCTCTTGTTTGGATCGTTGCTTCTATTGCTGCAGTCCCAATACTATCAGGTTCTAACTTTTGCTATCAAACACAATACCTAAATCTCGATCCTTTAATCATTGGGATGTCTAAGGTGACTGGCCAGTTGCTGCTCCTATCCATGACACTACTCTATGACCAGTTCTGGAAAAATATTCCCCCGATAAAACTGATTGGGATTGTTCAAGTTTTGTATGCTTCTTCCCTTCTTCTTGATCTTGTACTGGTAAAACAGGTCAATCTCAAACTGGGAATTCCAAATGAGGTGTTTGCCCTTTGTTTCTCAGCTGTAGCAGAAACCATTGCACAATTTAAGCTCTTGCCATTCCAAGTCCTTTTTGCAAGTTTGGCTCCACCCGGTTGTGAGGGATCTCTCGTCTCTTTCTTATCATCAGCTTTATGTTTATCATCAATATTTAGTGGGTTTCTGGGAGTTGGATTGGCCAGTTTTCTTGGAATAACTTATGGTGATTACTCAAGCCTGCCTGTGGGAATTGTGATACAGTTTCTTGCAGCTTTAGTGCCATTGCTATGGTTTCATCATGTTCCCATGTCACAAGCTTCAGCTGAAATGGAAAGAAAGAGAGGTAGAAGCAAAAGGACACGAAGAAAAAGAAGAGTTGGAAGAGTAGTGGTTGGTTCAGTTTATGATTATCGCCGGGAAAGAGAATCAGAGGCACAGAGATGAGAAGGCTACTTCACTCTTTCTGTAGGAAAGGGGTGAAGAAAAGAAGACGTTCAACTGTGTAAGACCCATTTCCTATCTTCCCACGCTTGCAAATGGCAATTCTTTATTTGCCACCAAAACCAAATTGAATGGTGCAATGGATGTCTTTGGCAAGGATCAAAATATTGTTTCAAAACGGTCGAAACATCCGAAACGTTTCCGTTTCCAAGAAGACCAAAACGAAATAATGATGAAATCGAAATTTTAATACTTCGAGTGTTCTATAATGTTTCGAAATATTTTGTTATATTTTAATGCATGTGCACAATTATTTCAGAATGTTTCAAGGTATTGTAAGATATTTTGATATATTTCGACTAATGTTTTGAAAATGTAATTCTTAAATTTTTAATTTTTTTTCATTTTGTTTTCGAAACGGATCAAAATATTTTTGAAACATTTCTATTTTCTAAGTAATCGAAATAATGCACCTAGACAAAATTTTGATCCTTAGTTTTTGGACATTTGGAGAAACGGATTAACTTTTGATGTATATTTTGTTTTGCAAAAGTAATGCATTAGAAGCAGTAAAGACCATTTTTTGGATTGTCACAGAGGATATGGTTGTAGATAGAGCTGCTTGAAGAAGGTTACACCAAGAAGTTGGAGTTAAACATTCGTTTATTTGAGCTGAGGAATTTTGTGGATTCATTCAGCTTATGATTATAACCTCCTACTTTGATATCTGTTTTTTTTTCATCTCACCTTCTGAACTTATCAAAGTCGAGTCCACAGCGAGCAGCACATCCACAGCAGAGGGGTGATCATTAAGAAGGGAAAGCATAAAAGGTCCAGGAAATTCTTTTGGAGGGAAACATGTATCATGGGAATACTTGAGATTTTTCCTTTTGTGCACTACTGGTCTTCCTTGTGAAATGTTGGTTGGAGTGTGAGAGAGAGAGAGAGAGAGAGCTGGACCGAGTACAACACAGGGCTGGAGATGCAAACTCTAGGAGCGTACCAAACTAACTGGTTGCATACTCTGGAATAACTATTGATTCTAGTAGAAGCAAAACATGACTTTTTAGCACACAATGGAAGATTATAATTTCATGCAACTGAAGTCTCTGCCTTCAGGAGAAAATTGCTATCTATTTGAAATCATTCTTCATATGAATCCCATCCCACCAACAAAATGAATAGCACCTCTATGAGCTGAGCATAATTGTCCGTGGCTCCACTTAACTAAAAGCTTGGTAGCAAATAGTAGGAACTTACCATCATCCTAGTCAGAAATAAGACTGAAGCATATCATGGAAGCAATCTTAAAAATCAGTCATTTGAGAGCAGATGATGCTGATCCATATACCTGCAAATGATAAGAATCTACCATAAAATGGGCTTTAACTTGGTGATAATAAAAAGCTCATATTCATATTAAATAAGAGATCTATAAAGCCACATTTTTGTGCGGGGATACAAGATCAGTAACTATCAATCTCCACCGTAAGGCCCAGAGGAATCATGTTTTCTTTTGATGTTCAAAGAAGTAAAACTTGGTCTCAGATTCACAGTACAAAGATGGATGCCATATTTCTAGTACAAAGATGGATGCCATATGTTTTGAGAATTGTAATTCACTTGTTTCTTCATGTTGACTGTGTCCTGTTCTTATTGAAAGACTGCCTTGGCTTTAGATCATAATACTCTTGACAGATGAGACAGTTAAGGAAAACAAAACAAGGTCTGTTTGGACATCAGTGACCATGGGTCATGCAGTGTTACTTTCCAAGACATTATATAGGCACCAAAAATACACCCTTCAATGAAGCCAAAAAGGAACATGGAGTCATTACAATAAAAGATTTTGAACAACTGAAACAATTCACTTGTCTAGCTTCAGCCACCATTTCTGCCTCCAAAATAAAACCTATAACAAAGATAGGTACATGATCCAGAAGGTTGGGTTGTGGGTAAATATATGCAAACTAAAGCTATAGTCTAAATTCTCAGTGAACAGGAATAAGCCAAGACCCCAAGCAGTGGAATAAAGATGTAAAATTCATTGTTTGGATACATCTTATGCCTGATCAGGCCATCCTGATTAAATCTAAGGTACTTACCATGTTGCACACCGTCTATAAACTTCTGTGATTATTTCTTGTTGAGATCCATGAAAGCTCATCCAGCGTCTTGTACTGCCAGGAGGGTAAAATTCTAGAACCAATATTACAATTCCTAATCAGAATCCAGTCCTTAAGAGTATCTTGGTATACACAACAACAGGTTGAAAGCTATTCTTTTGTACGCATATTTCTAGACAGAAACAGAATCATTTGATCTATTTTCTGCAATATGTAGACCAAAGTTTTGCACATCACTTCAAATGTTGATTCAAAAGATATAGGTGCAGAGCAACGGGGGAATTGACCAAACATAAACCAGATTTTTGGAGCATTTAAAGACAAGAAACTTTAGGTTGCAGCATGGAAGCATCTGTGTTTCCCGACTTGGAGGCATACCAAACAAGGTATGAGTTAACTATTACCAGTATTTGGACAAAGTACAACTTTACATTACATTAGTAAAACCCAATTTTGTCATTCCATATCATTAAAAGAAGTCTCTTTTGTATGTGTCTAAAAAACACTAGATCTACTTTTTGAATATGGTTGAAACAATGTTATGCATTTTCCTAAAAACTTGACAACCTCAATTGAGAAGGATGGATTTGCGAGTCCATTTTCCACTTGGACAAAAAACCAAATACATTTTATTGGGGGGAACTACATCAAATGGTAAAAGGAATAAGAACTAACCTGTATGAAGCATTTGGCATACGGCCAGCACAATCCCCAAGGGCAAACATTGATAGAGATTCTATTATTAGACAACTCTCTTTTTTGCAGTGCCATTTAACTTCAGCACGATGCTTGTGTCTGACCCTGGTGGCACAAAATATCGCATCGCTGCATTAGTGTTGACATATCTGTGTTGAATTCTCAAGATCAGGAGAATAACCAACTCCCTTCATTGCTAAAATGAGTTCATCCAGCATCTCATAAATCATATCAGACCTAGGATGCGCTTTATCAGCAACATAAAAGCTGTGATTTTCACTGTTAATGCTAATCCAACTGCACCCAGGTAACTTTCTGAGTCCCCTTTCTTTCATCCTTGTTCTCACTTCAGCAACAACATCCCACCTTCGTGAAGCAGCATACAGATTTGAAAGCGAGACATAGTTTGAGGGGTTATCAGGTTCCATCTGAATAAGGAAACTATACGCCAAATCTCGCATCCCAGAATTTTCATGAAGTATGGAAGTATTAACAAGAGCCCCCCAAACACTAGGACCCGGTTCTATAGGCATGGCCTTAATAAAATCCAAAGCTCGATCAAGCTGGCCAGATCGACCAAACATATCAACCATGCACGAACATATTTCCAACGTAGGTTTAATTTCAAAATAATTTACAACATAGCTATAGATTCTAAAGCCTTCATCAACTAATCCTGACCTGCCACAAGCAGAAAGAACCCCAACAATTGTTATAATGTCTGGTTTGATCCCAATTTGAACCATCTTATCATACAAAATAATGGCTTCCTCACCCTTCCCATGTAATCCATATCCAGATATCATTGAACTCCAGGAGATCACATCTTTATTGATACAATCATATTCAAAGACCTGCCTGGCACAATACAAGCTCCCGCACTTGGAATACATATCAATCAAAGCATTGCATAAAGAAACTTCATGATTCAACTCCTTCCTAATTGCAAATCCATGAATTTGTCTCCCACCAACTAAACCAGCAAGCGAGCTAAAAGCAGGGAGAATACTTACAAGCGAAACCTTATTGGGTTCTATCCCATCTCTCCTTTGCATTTCCCTAAATAGAACCAGACCTTCATCAAAATACCCTTGCTGTACATAGCCATTGACAATCGCTGTCCAAGCATAGACATTTCTATGCTTCAACTGACTGAAAACTCGTCTACCCAACTCGAGCTTATTATTTCTCGAATACATATCTATCAAACAACACCCTAAATGAACATCAGAACCTGAATCCATTTGCAATTCATTCTTTACAACATAACAATGAAGCTCCCTTCCATAATTCAATTTCTCATTTTCACTCCTACACAAAGGAAGAAGAATTGAAACCGTGAATTCATCAGGATTGAACCCTTCAATTTGCATATTTTTAAAATATGTCCATATATCACTACCAAAATCATGTTCTTTCAAAGTTGCACAGCCTGATACTATAACATTCCAAGAAGAAACATTTCTGTGGGGCATTTCATCAAACATCTTCAAGGATTCAAGAAAACTCTCACACTTCAAATACGAGGACATAAGAGAGTTGGCAACTACAGTATCTGATACAAGCCCAATCCTTATACACTTTGCATGGATGGATTTCCCTGCAAATATATTTCTTAAATCACCCGAAATTTTCAACAAAATTGAAAGAGAGAACTCATCAGGTAATACAGAAGTTTGACTCATTTGGTTAAATAGATAAAAACTTTCATCGTATAAACAATTTTTCGCATACCCATTAATCAATGTGTTGTATATATACACATTCTTGACTAAAACTGAGTCGAAAACGAGCTGAGAGTCAACTGGGTTTTTGCACGAAGAGTATGCAGAAATGAGTTTTGTTACAATGAAAGGGTGCTTAGTGAGGCCGAGGAGACATATTTGGGCATGGGATTGTCGGGTGAGTTTGAGGGATTGGTGGGAGATTGAGTGCTGAAGAAGGTGGAGGAGAGAGAGTGATGGGTCCAGTGCAGTAGCAGAAGCGTAATAACGCGGGGATAAATGGATAAGTTTAAAGGCTTTATGTGCAGAGAAGATGAACATGAAGTAACGAAGAGACAGTTGTGTATGTTTGTGTGTGTTTCTTTGCTTCGATTTTGCAATTGAAAAGTGTTGTAGTTCTGAGAATAGGCGGGAATATGTATGTGTCTGTATTTTACTTTCCTGCACTCCATGTATGCAATTTTTATACTACTGTTAAACTATCCTACATGTGCAATTTTTAACCCACACTCCGTATGGGTTCCATTTAACCTACTCATATAGACTAAAATTAGGACAGCTAGTCGAACGGGTCCGAGTCGAGTTCGAGTTGAGCTTGAAAAGTTTATTTTTTAATCGAATCTAAAAAATTGTTCAAGTCCTAAATGAGTCGAGTTTGATCGAGTCAAAAATAAATCGAGCCCGAGCCAAGTCCGAATATTTACACATAAACGAGTCAAATTTGAACTGAACTTGTAGATCTTATTTTCTAAACGAGTCTACACAATTTGTTTAAGTTGGGGTTTGTTTAGAAAACGAACTGAACTTGAACAAGTCGAACTTAAGCTGAACTCAAGCCAAGTTCAAGTAACTTAATTTGATTAACAACCCTAACTAAAATGCATGTTAATATCGAGTAAGGATAAAATCTTGAATGGGATTTACTATCACTTTCTGTTTCTTCCCAAACATGGGATAACTAGTGTACATTTCAATTGTATTTAACTCAACATATGTTAAAATCCCATTACCTCACAATCAAATCCACACTTTAATAATTTCTTCACAAACTAAAAGTTACACTAAAATCATAGAATTTTTTTTTTTACTTTACAATAATTCATGTCAATAAATTTTGACATTATATCCATATAATACTACGCAGATTTATTAATCATGTTAATTTCGAATTATTTAGTTTTAACACCAACTCAACTTGCTAACTTCCCACTTCATCGCAGCAGCTAGCAAGGCAGGCATAGGGCACCTTCGAGTGAGTGAGCTGATTACAAAAAATTAGTGTAATTCACACAACTTATCTGTAATCAGTTTAATTTAAAGAGTTATTTTCACTCTGATTACTGCTTTTACTTGGATTCTTCTCGGACAGATCATGACATATTGACTTGCCTAGCGAAAGAATCGATAATTATTGGATTATTGGTTGACAGGTGTCTAACTAACAAAGAACCCAAAAAAAACTAGTAAGAGTTTTCCCCTAGGCTATTTAATATGGTATAACCACAGAGATTACTTGCATCAAGGGGCCCTTTGTGTTATTTTCAAATTGACACCAAAAAATATTCAAACCCTAACCTGATCAAGCCGTGAAATCAAAAATTCAAATCTTGACCTGATCGAGTTTGTGTCGTGCGTAGAAAATCGTCACCCCTAATTGGGGATTTCTTTCCTTTTTTTCTCCCGTAGGCATGGGTTAGTTGTCAAACAAATCTTGACATTCAGCCCCACAAAACAACATATAAATCCTGAATCTAATACACAAGATTTAACACATAAATCCTTTAACATTCTGTATCACTAAACAACATTGTACACAAAATAATTTAAGTCACAAAACAGATGGTCACAAGACAGCAATAAAACAGACTTGTCAGCAGCAGCATTATCAACACAACCAGAAGACACCCCCCACCCCCAAAAAAAAAATAAAAAAAATATAATTCCGATAATGGCTGAACAGGGTTACGCTGGATCCATCCATCCACTTTTCTTGACCGTCACCCCCTCACACTACCCTCGTCGCCGTCACACAACCACCCTTATGTTCTGGCTCTCCGGTGTGTGCTCCCACGCCATAGCCGGTGTCCCGGTAACTGGGACCATAGCTGCTATCGAACATTCCCATATGAATGAACACGAGATAGAACAACTCGGTGAAAGCTAAAACTATTATGAATCCCTCAAGCACCCTTAGTCTCCATCCTCTATACCCTCCAATGTTTATCTCCTTGCACGCAAACCTGCAAATTTTATTTCGTAAACGAATCAAACTGAAAGTTCGTAATGGATTCAAATAAATATTCGTTCAAATTATTTCAATTACCAAACGTACTAAGCCCGAGCTCAAAAAGGCTCAATTAAATAAACAAATTTAAGTCAAAGCTCAAACAATTCTTTTTTCTGCTCATTAGGCATATATAGCAATGACGTTACCACATTCACTCATGTTGCGGGGGATCATATGCTGTTTCCCAGGTCTACCTGTTCAAGGTAGCGCTTGCAAGTGGCTAGGATGTACATTGTACAAAATGTTGCTTACTTCCTTGTATGCTCTCCCCTTTTTTTAAGGTCTTAATAACATTACTCTAACCACAAACTTGTGTAATGTACACACGTACGTGTGTAAGACACTTATTACACTAGTTCAAGCCCAATCTTAGATTGGGGCTCTTAAATGATTCAAACCCCAAGCAACATTTACTGCTCATAGGCATATTTTTTAACCTTTAATGAAAATTCAGATTAAACAAGCCAAACCCAAACACTCAATTTGTTCTTGGTTGGGCTGATTTGCACCGGTTCATTTAAAATAGAACAGTTTCTTGAAAAGATATAAAACTTTGAATATGTCAGATATAACTCTTGCTATTCTCAATAAGACGGCTCGATAAAACATCGCTTTCTACAATTATAAGATCCAATATAAGATAAGGTCTTCCCATTCCATCATTTTGCTTCCTAACTAGTTATATCAAACAAGTGGAAAATGCTAGTTGTTTGCAAAAAAAAATAGTTTTTGGACTTAAATTGCCGACCTTATTTACCAAACTAATGGATCACAATTATAGAGAGGACCCAACTGAACTCCACTTTCAATTTAATGACAATAATTCATTGATAATCCATAGACCTAATTAAGTTCTGAGTAGTATTACTCGTATAAAATTGTTTTATCCGAAAAATATTGCTATGTTTACCAAATACTTTGCCAAATGAATTTATTCACTTTTGTCGATGGGACTTACTGATCGAATTATCCACATTCATATTCATTCTATATAGTACTTTGTTTTGGCAATCACATCATTGCTCTTACCCGAAAGCTAGTGCCGTGACGGCCATGCTACCATCGATAATGTGCGTGTTAGATCTTACACAATATAAACACGAGAACAGATCTCTCCCTTGGTGAACTCGAGTGAGTCAGTCGAATGGTCAACCCTGCTGCTTGGAACAGCCTGCGAGTTCTAATGGTAACCTGAAATGGTAATGGGAGACCCTCGTGGATCAATTGAACGATCCAATAAGGCTGAGGAAGGTTCCTGGAACAAAGAAAGACAAGTTAGAAGGGCGCCAGAGTGTTTTCCGGCGTATCCTCTCCGACGATCAAGTCAGTTTTTGAGAGAGAGGAAGAAGAAAATACTGAGTATAATTTGTAGCAAAGGTTTCACCTTGTTTTTCTCTTGCCTTTTGTGAGGAGTATTTATACCTCAAATACTCATGATTGCTATCAGTGTGGTCAGTAGGTGATCATTAGATACAGGCAACGTGAGCACTGATTCCTACGAGAAATGTCTTCTCTTTTAACTGTTCGGGACCCCGAACAATCAAGACTGTGTCATCGGCCTGTCGATGGTTCAATGAACTCCTCTCGGCAAGGATGTAATAAATGTCCAGCCTTAGAGACATTTATTACCTTTCATTTCCGAGCCTTACCGCATTAAATGCTGTCTCATCAAGGGAATGGTGTAATTTAATGCTTGCTTTCCCAAGTCGTATGTCAGCAAGGGCATCCGGTCTTTCTGTCTTTGATGTGACACAATATGCCACACGTCCATTTCTCATTGGCTGTGTCCCCTGCCTTCTGTGCCTTCTAACACCAATTGCGTAAGACGAGGTCATGATAGCTAACCTAGCCTAGCCTAGGCTAGTGACCTGTACATCAATAGTCTCTACTGGAGCAGAGAACGCCATCCTGGACGAGGGTATATCTCGGTACCGAGGAAGAGGTACATCTCGGAGCCAAGGGAGAGGTACATCTCAGAGCCGAGAGGAGAGCCTAGCGACCGATGTACCATATCAGACCGAGGGATACGTGTCGGTACATCAAAACTTACTGGATGCCACTTGATCCCTATGATAAGCACCTCGGGAGAGAGGGGACTTGTGAACCGATGAGTACGTGATCTCAGTAATAAGAATTAATAACACCGAAAACACGTGTCTTCATCTTAGAGTATTTCGAAAATGTTCCATCAGATAATGATCCTGCTGCAGCTAGACTATCATTTCTCCACAACCTCAGGTGGGTGCCTCCAGCAAATTTTGATACTGTACCCAGTACAGCAGCCAGCAAGGCAAAAGTCAGGAAGAACTCGGTTGCTGGATTTCCTCTAAGACCTGGAAAAAAGCTTACAAAAAAAAAAAAAGCTAAATAAATTTTCTTGGTCTTAAATTATTTTTAATAAACACTTAATTTATCGACTTAATCTTTTTTTTTTTCTGCATCTTATAAACCACACACACATCTATGCACATATATATATACTAGTCATAACCCGTGCCTGAAGGTACGACAGAACAAAAAATTTGAGTTCTAAAAAATTAATATCACTATATTAAATAATATATATATTTTTTCATTTGTTTGATTAAATCATTCAAAATTTGTTCTATACTATTGTGTATGGATAATATATGAAATAAAAATTATGTTAAATTATAAATTAATTAAATATTAAATTGTGGAATATGCGATAGAAATAAGTGATGTGATGATTTTGGGGGGTGAGAAATGTATAGGGGATAAAATTCAACTTCCTGTGTGTTTTATTATATAGATTTGTATAGATATAAGAAAAAATTTCATTCAGATCCCTGTAGTTATGTTTAAATTCAATGACACCTCTTTTCTATTTTAAAATTTCACTGTCACTCCCTGTTAGTGATTGTCAGGTTATACCGTTAATGGCGATGACTGATTTATAGAAACATCCCCGATTATTTTTTTGGATAAATTTTATCCACACCCCTTATAAATAAACCTAATTTTAACAACATCCCCTGTAAATGGATCTAACTTTAACAACACCCCTTCTTGATTCTGAAATTTCAATACACTCCATTTTAGTTCTATTATATGAGCCTTTATTTTGATCAATTTAATATTCAATTTTATCAAATTAATTTTCTTTATTTAATTTAAATTAAATTAACATTTTATCTTATCAAATCAACACAAAATTGATATTTAATTTTATCAAATTAGCATTTATTTATATTAATTTAATATTTTATTTCATCAAATTAGTATTATTTCTTTAATTTAATATTAAGTTATTATTTATTTTTATCAAATCAACATCAAATTGAAATTCAACTTTATTAAATTAAACTATTTAATTTATTAAATAGAATATTAAATTCCATTAATTTAAAATTTAACCTTACCAAATTAATGTCATTTCTTTAATTTAACACCAAATGAACATTTAGTTTGATTAAAACAACATTCAAATTTATTCAATTAACATTAAATTCAATCAAATTAATATTTAATTTTATCAAATTAAAACTAAATTAATATTTAAATTTATCAAAATTAAGATCAAATTTATTCAATTAATATTAAAATTTATCAAATAATTTTAAATTTTATATATNAAACTAAATTAATATTTAAATTTATCAAAATTAAGATTAAATTTATTCAATTAATATTAAAATTTATCAAATAATTTTAAATTTTATATATGAAGTATGATGTGTGAGGAGAGGTCGGGCGAAATTGTGAAGGATATATGATAATAGAGGAATTAGAAATGGATGAGATTTTGATATTAACTTTATCAATTGTAATTTTTATTATAGAAAAATCATTTTTAACTATAAAAATTATTATGATAAAAAAAAATACAATTATAAAAACTTGATTATGTAACCAAATGAGTGATAATATGATGATTAATATTATAACAAAATTATAATACGATATTTTAAAATAAAAAATTCATTGGGATAATATAATGATTGAAATTTCGTTTGTTGGTTGGTTAGAACATATATAATGGGAAAAAAATTGATGACATTTTAGTCTATTAACATAATAAAGAGTAATTTTAGTATTTTCATAAAATATTTAATTAAATTATTATTTTATCTACTGACAGAGACAAAAGTTATTGTTATAGGAGTTGTCATTGAATTTAGACTCAACTACATGGTGTTTAGATGAAACTTTCACTAAGATACAACATGTAGATATAGTATATTTTTTATCTTTGTACTATATATATGTACAATAAAGATGTGTGTGTGTGTGTGTGTGTGTGTGTGTGTGTGTGATATGAACAATAAAGATGGAGAGCAGCTGCATTAGGATATAATTTTAGGGAGACATGTGTCTCAGTTTAGAAAGAGAATTATGAAAAATGAGAGTGTGAGAGACAGTTAATGTCTCAGTATAGAAAGTGATCCCTTAATATAGGAAATAAAATCAGAAAAATAATGATAAGAGTTGTAATCTGTATTTTAGGGAGAGAGAGACAGAGTTGAGGAATGAGATATCGCTTAATTGTCGGATTTGATTGGGTTGAAGAATTAAATTTAGGGATTTTAGTTTTGGAAACTAAAAGGTTTGAGCGGCAAAAAATTTTCAAGAGCTAATATGGTACATCAGATTGAAACGATTTGAGACGTCAATAGCTTAAGACAGTTTGAAATATCGTCGGTCGTTGAATGATGTCTTTTTTGATCTCAAAACTATCTGAGCTGTTCTTTGTTTTTTGAATTCAAAATTGTTCTACTTTATTATATAGATATACACACAAATATGTGTGTGTGCGTGCGCGAGCAAATATGTGTGTATAGAACGTCTCTCTTGTGAGACTTGAGGTGGCCCACATACTAGTTAACTTTTATGATAATATTATATTTATAAATTATACAAATAATTTTGAATTAAAATTTGGTAATTGAGATTTTGTCAATCTATTGTGGTTATCAAGTTAGTTATAGTTATCAGATTAGTTTCAAAGTCATTGATGGAATGAATCTAATAAAGTCAATCTATGTAAATGATAAAGATTGGGGTCCCTAACTTCTCTATAAATAAAGATCTCTGAATACCATCAGAAACACAATCTATTCTAAACGTAGGCCAAGTTGGAAACCTTTTTCCCACGCCTACGTAAAATATTAGTGAGAATGCTTAATTTTTCTTGTGAGTGTTTGATCAACAAGGCCCGTGATTTAGAATTTAAGGTTACAAATGACATAGCGGGAGGTAAGTATTCTATTTCGCTACGATATGTAATTCTCCATTTTAGCCGAGAGAGAGAGAGAGAGAGAGAGAGAGAGAGAGATTACTTGGATGATGAGATTGGCAATTGATGTACCTGTTAACACACACCAACTAGCAAAACCCAACACTATAAAATACATAATCAAGTTTGCAAAAAGCAATGGAGCTGCAAGTTTTCTTCCCAATGAGTTCATCTTTCTTCCTCTCTTTCCTTGAACCCCACAAAATTAATGCAACAGTCGTCCTCCAAAACACCAACAAATCGATACTTCTAAACCTTCACCAACTTCCTCTTCCTTTTCTGTGTGTGTCTGTAACCGTTGGGATAACAAAGGAAGCAGTGGCCGGTGAGGCTATATGTACAAGGGCTTATAAGGCTGCAGACAAATGAGACGTGTCATGCTTGTTAGCTTTAGCTAGTTAGAAGTGTTAGGAAATGTGTCAACTCTTGGAAGTTTTCCTCGGTCTTGTTTTCTTGAAACTTCACATGAACGGTGCATTCTCTCTCTCTCTCTCTCTCTCACGCTCACTATGCATATATACGTATATATATTTTTGTATATATGTATTCTAATAGTATATAGGAGAGTCAATTTTTCCTGGCTCGACTCAATCTCACAAACTTTCTATTTCAACGAGTACATTTTTCGTGTGAGTCAAAATTTTTCCCCGACAAAAATGTTTTTTGTCTTTGGACGGTTATAATTACAACAGCCATTTTATCGGGACTTTACTCGTCGGTTCTCTTGTCATGAGGTCATCAACTTCTTAAACCTTGCAACACTGGGCAGTATTAGCCCCATAATCTCTAGTGCTATTGTTAAATATGAATTGAAGTAAAGGCAGAAGGGCTTGATGTTTGAAACACTAATTTTGAAATTAGGGTTTAAACTTTTCAAACCCAAAGATTGAGATTAAAATTGGATACAAGAGTGTAGCATTTTACGATTGCAATCAACCGAATATTCCAATGATGGGAGAACACACACACACACACTATACGAAGGGCATGAATTTTGTCAGTTTGTTACGGTTGTGATGGATTTTTTTGGAAGTAGATTTTTGCATTTCGATTTTGGAATTTGCTTGTGAGGAATTAAATTTTTTGCATTTTTGAAGTTCAAGTTTGTCTGTTTTGTTATGGATTGAAACTTTTCCATGTTGTTTCAATTAAATTTGTTCTAGGGTTCTCATATTTTTCGTATTAAATTGTTTCGATTGATTAGACTTGCACAATTTGCTAAAAATAGACTAAAGTATTTACACATCTAAGTTTGGCTTAATAGTCTTGTGATGGTTAAAATGATCAATGCTTTCATGGTATATATCTCATATGAACAATTACGAAAATTCTGGTAAAAAAAAATAAAATTACAATTATGAAAATTTATAGGATATTTTTATAATAAAAATATATATTAGTTATTGCCCGTACCTAAATATACGGAATAATAAAAAAAATTGTCAATCATAAACATATTTGTATTTACAGACAATATCAAAACACAAATATAAAGAAGAGAAAAAAAAATTTAACCATTAGTTGTAGAAGGAGTAATGGGCAACAATAATGGTGGTGGGAGGCAGTAATGGTAGTGGTGGCAATTATGGGTGGCAATGGTGATAGTGGTAGGCGAAGACGATCGTTGTGGTGGTTGTGAGTGGTGGTGGGCGATGACGGGTGCTTGTGGACTATGGTGGTGGTGGATGATGGTGAATGACAATGGTGGTGGTGGTAAGTGTAGTGGGAGCGAGTGACAGTGGGTGGCGGCGATGGTGAGTAATGACAGATAGTAGTGATTGGTGGTAGGTTGTGGTAGTGGGTGGCGGTGGGTGGTGTGGACAACGATGGTGGTGGCAGTGGGCGATGGTGGTAGTGGGATGATAGTGATGGTGGTAATCTATATCTATATCTATACTACTTATAAATGTCAACATCTGCAAAAATTTTTTGATTTCCTATTTTATCCCTAATTATTATAAAAAAAATCAATTATACCCACCTATATATTTTTATCTAATTTTTATTTTTTTACACATATTTGAATTTTAACTTGTTTTTGATTATCTTATAAGAAATTTTAAATTTTTTTAAATT